CGTTTAAATTTATCCTCCCATATGTCACAGTGGTAAGTTAACAATTCTGTTGTATTTGATGGTAATCTGAGGTGAATCTCATAGCACTCATTCTCTAAGGCCAATGTTAATACCTTTTTAATAGCAGGAATAACATCAGACCTCCAATAACGTGGTATTACCACAGTAGCCGCTTTCAAGTCGTGGCTTACCATTATCTTATCTACTTGGTAAAGTTTTCAGGAAATGACTTGAATAAACATAGTTCTGAAGTCAAAGTCAAAGTAAAATCATTTTTTTCATTCATGCCATTTGAATATAAAGCATTTAACTTGTACACCCAGTACATTTCTCTACGTCTCAAAATGTTCGATCAATCACCACCCTAGGATGGATTTTTTTATGTTTTTAACTGCCAAGAATTGTAGTTGTGAGACCCGGTGTCTTATCTTATTAAAGTGTCTAGCTACTGATGATGTAGTCAGTTGTTTTCTGATTGCATTTTTGTGCTCACCTATGCGTGTAGTGAAATGTGGTTTGTCCAATGTACACTTTGCCACAAGGGCAAACCACATAATTTGATTGGCAATTCACATACAACTTTAAGTCAATTTTATAGCCCAAACTTGGATGTGAAAATTTCTTTTTTTTATCATTTTATTATTACAGTTTACACACATTTTGGGATCCAGCTCTTGTTCCCTCAATAATTGCTCTGGCATGTATAAAGTCATTTTAATACTCTTAGGAGTTTTGAAATCCATTATAGGAATAGCTCCAAAAATCTCTTGTAAATTGACATCTTCACTCAATACACGACAGTAACTTCTGATAATCTGTGTGACTTGTTTGGACTTAGTTGAAAATGTATGAACAAAGGGAATATGTCTGGTTCATTGTTTACTTATAGCCTCAGTAACCTCCTGAGTTGGTGGAGATGTGACCTTTTCTCTAGAAATAAATCATGAAGGCAGCCCCTTTCTCTAAAATGATTCATCATTCCATCCACCCATTGCTCAAAGGTCTCACTGTCTGAGATGATTCTTTTGAGATGCAACATCTGTATGGTAACTCTTCATTGAGTTTGGGTGGATGGAACGATGAGAAATGTAAATATGCTTTACTATAGGTAGGCTTGGAATAAATGTCAAATTTTGTAAAAAAAATGTCTTCATTAACGCAACGTCCAAGAATTGGATCCGCACTGGATCATATACCATTGTGAATTTGATAGTGGGGAGGGATTGGTTCATAACCACCCAGAACTTCAACAAAGCCTCAACAAAATATAATCTATTAAGTGGAGCCACAACTTAACAAATCAAAAAAAAAAGTGTCTATAAACAAAGTTTTCCTCAAAACAAGCCATGAAAAGATTGGCATACGATGGAGCCAAGATTGACCCCATCACATTGCCCTATAAATGTTTGTAAAAAAACATCCTGATATAGAAAATAATTATCATGTAGTACTATCCTTAAAAGACTTATTGCAAATTCCTGTTTTGCTTCACCTATCTCCAATTGCACCATGTGATGAGGGATGGAGGACTGCCCACGTCCATTATATACATCAAAGTCACACTCTGCGGGCTATCAAAACTGCACAATTTGTTACAAATTCTGTTGTGTCCTTAATAAAGGACTGGGCATCCAGTACACATTGTTGTATTAGTGAGTCCAAGAAGATGGACAAGGGTTGAATAACAGACTCAGTCCCAGCGACAATTAGTTGACCTGGGGGATTGATCAGACTTTAATGTATCTTGAGTAATACATAAAATAAAGGAATAATGGGATTTCTTGTATTAAGAACTTTTCCAAGTCTTTGTCAAAAAAGACTCTGCCTGGCTGCCTCCTCTACAACTCTATAAATTTCTTGGGTGATATCAATAATGTTTTTGGCAACCTGCAGTATGTTTGTGCATCCAATAACAGTCGCAGAATTTCCAAGTCATATTTGTCTGTGTCCATGACTACCAAGACCTGGCCTTTATCGGCTGGCTTGATAGTCTTATAGTATTGTGGGTCAGCGGCATTAGATGGGAGGGGTAGGGCATCAGGCTGTTCATCACTGAGATCTTCTGCTACACTCTCAGAGTGTGTCTAGCATATGGGGACAGCTCCCGTCTTTCAAGGCCAGCCAGGGCAGTACGGAGACTGGCCTACCAGCCTGCCAGCCTCCGACTCCTCCACCACCTTCCAAAGCTTTTCGTCCAATCCATCACTCACTGGCGATGTGTGGCTACATATCAGAGGTGAAAGTCCAGCATTGCCAGGCCTCCCCTGTCTCTAGGTTGCATGAGCGTGATGAGTTTCATCCTAGGCCTTTTTCCATTCCAGATGTAGTTGGCCGTAGCGGTTCTGAGAGAATTAAAGAATGGTTTGGGGATCGTAATGGGAATTCAAGATGTAGGATTTGGAATAGTTTATCTTCAAGTTGAAGATGCCTCCAAATTCCTTGAATGCTTTTAGGGTAGTGGGAAGGGATATTTCCGGTTTGGGGGTTGTGATCCCGGTGATATCCATGCAAGGACGAACAGCAGAGGGGACAGGGGACATCCCTGTCTGGTGCCATTGTGGATAGTGAATTCAGTAGTCAATGCCCCGTTGCCTAGGACATGAGCCATTGGCTCATGGTATAGGGTTTCTATCCATCTCCGCAAGTGGGGTCCCAGTCCTATGTGGGCCAGGATTTTTAAAGAGATATGTCCAGCAGAACCTGTCGAAGGCCTTCTTCGCATCCGTAGATAGCAGAAGAAGGCCCCCGGCTCTCCCCTTCCCGCCGTGCATTATGGTGAGTGCCCGAATGGTGTTGTCTCTAGCCTCACGTCCCATCATGAACCCCACGTGGTCTGAGTGGACTAGCGAGGGGATGTGCGTCCGGAGCCAGGTCGCCAGGATCTTGGCTAGTCGTTTGATGTCGCAATTAATGAGTGAGATTGATCTGTAGTTCCCGCAGTGCTCTCTCCGTCATTGCCCTCTTTGGGGATAATGGTGATATGGGCCGTCAGAGCTTGTTTGGGTATGCGTTGGCCATCCCTCTCCGCACTGAAGGATTCCAACAGCGGTGGGTAGAGACTGTCAGTGAAGATTTTATGGTACTTCAGCGGGAGTCTGTCTGGGCCAGGGCTTTTGCCTGGTTTGGTTTCTTTAATTGTGAGTGCCAGTTCTTCTAATGTGGTTGGTTCATCTAAGAGTGTTGAGATATTCCTATCTATGGTCGGCAGTGGGTGTGCAATGAGGTATGACTGTATTAAGTTGTGGAGTCGTGTTTTTGCTGTCTCTGTTTTTGGTTGTGGCAGTGGGTATAGGTCCGAGTAGTAGGTACATACCGCTGCAAGAATTTGGGTCGGGAGGTGGTGTAGGGTCCGGCATTTATCTTTAATTCTATCGATGTATGTCCCTTTTTAGACAGCATTGTAGCTAGGAGTTTGCCACTCTTATTTACGTGTAGGTAGAAGAAGGCTTTGTGTCTAACTGCGTCCCTATGTAACTTAGAGTGAAGCAGTGAGGTGAGGTCTCGTCTTAGTTGTAAGAGTCGTGTTTGAGTATGGTGTTGCGTGCGTTTGTTGAGGTCCTCCTCGTTTTGGATGTCGGCCAGGAGTTTGGTCAGTCGGGCTTCAGATTGTCTCTTGAGTGTGGCCCCTTGCAGTATGAAGTGGAGTTGTCTGCAAAGTAGTCCCTGAGTTTCTCAGGGACTTAATGTGAGTCATTAAGTCCACTCTAGACAGCAAGTAGTCATTGAGTCTCCATTTTGAGATTGTGGGTCAAAATAGTGGGGATATTAGTTTGAGCAGTGTGCGGAGGAGGAAGTGATGTTGCTGTCTGTTGGGGGCGTATATGTTTGCGAACGTGTATAGTTGACCTGCGATCCTGCCCTTAAGGAACAGGAATCTACCCTCATTGTCCTATAAGCACCCCCCCTCCTGGAACGGCACCCGCTTGTTCAACAGTATAGTGGTTCCCCTGGATTTTCTCCTGTGGTAGTCACTGTAGTAACCCTGCAGGAAGTGGTGGTTTGAAAGCTTAGGTCTGTCTCCCTTCCTGAAATGCGTCTCCTGAATCATGACTAGCGAGGATCTTTTGGCATGGAAGTCCTGTAAGGCCCCTGAGCGTTTCTCTGGTTTATTAAGTTCCTGAGCGTTAATAGTAAGGATAGTGAGATGGTCCGGGGTCAGTGCCCTGTTGCTTGGTTTGGGCAGTTAAGTAGTGGTCCGTAAAGTCTTCTCTGTACGTTCGTGTCTGTGGGGGGAAGAAGAAGAAGTCGGGGTGTCTGGTGTAAGGGGGGGCAGGAGCGGGGTCGGGAGGGGGGTCAGGAAGTTTGAGTTTGCGGGCGGGGTGTCGGTGGGAGTTGGAGGTTTGAGAGTCCTTCAGGAAGCACGTCACTGTAATGTGACGGCTGGGTGTAGGCGTCGGGGAGCGTTGATGCACAGTACCACCAGTGGTCCGTGTGGCCCGCTCACCTTCCTATAGACACCTCGTCCTCAGGGGTGTTGGAAGGAGGCCTAGGTCCTCCGTGAGGCCAGTGTCTGCATCTGGTCCGTAACTATCGGAGCTCTCAGAAGTCACAAAGAGCGTTGCAGACCCGTGTCGCCCCCTTGTGGCTCCAATGCGTTGTCTTAGTAGGTGTGTTAAGGTAATCCTCGCCTCCAAGTAGTGTGGCCCTGAGGCCTGCATGGGTATATAACATTTGCATATTTGTGGTATCATCATCATTCAACAGTACATTATGCATTAAGAAACAGGTGTTTTTACAACACAACAATTTAAATTGTAACAAAACCAGAACTATAGTAGATGGGGGTAGCAGATATTGAACATAGTACATTTTGTGTCATGTCCCCTTTTTAGCCAAAATGTCCGGAGCATGTTATCCTGATCCCCGAAGTGGGTTGGGTTAACAAGGTCCATAGGCCCCCTCTATCACGTGCATAGCACCTCACCTGTCGTGTGTGCTGAGTGACCTTTCGTGACCTCTAGGTCTACCTCCCAGGTTCAAACAAGTGTGTGTGGTCCTCCTCAAGACCTCTGTGTCGATGTGGTTATAGCCCCTGTTTGCATGTCATCTCGCCCCACCAGCAAGGTTTCATGGTGTGGGCCCCCTCCCTCCCTGGGGGTGGGTGACTTACCTGTGGTCCCCCTGTTCAGCCCTCTACATGCAGGTTTCATTGTTGACCCGACTCCCCGCGCCTTCACCCCCTGCCTGCTCCCTGAGCGTTCGTCACAGGTCGGGCGGGTCCTGATGGCTGGGTGCCTCGCATTCGGAATCTCCAATTTCGGGGGGCAGGGAGTTGGTTGGTTCATCCCCGGGAAGAAGGTGTAGAATGCCATCGGGTTGGGCCAGGCCATTTGTATCAGTGGTAGCTGTAGTTCCCGTAGGAGATCTTGTTGGCCTGCAGTCCTTGGTGGCCTGCAGTCCAGTGGGGAAGTTCCAGCAGTATCGGACTTTATTGACTTATAGTGCCCATGTAAGAGGGCGCATAGCTCGTCGGTACGCCAGCGTTGCCGGTGACAGGTCTGGATACAATTGTAATTCCACTCCATTAATAAGGACTTGCTTAGTGCCTCTCACTTTATGTAAGATGTCCTCTTTCGTTTGGAAATGTGCTAGGCCTTGGGGGGGCGTTTGGCGGGCCTCTCGGCCTGAGAGCCCTATGCATCCTAATGAACTCTATGGGTGTGGTCGTCGGCCGGCCTAGGAGGCTATTGAATAATTCCGTGAGGGTATCACATAGTGGGGTGGCCTGGTCAACTTCCTCCAGTATACCCCTGATCCTGATGTTTTGCCGCCTCCAGCGGTTATGCAGGTCCTCCCTGTGCAGTGCCATCTGGCAGAGTTGGGCCACGTGTTGTTGCAGCATGCCTGTGTTCGCGGTCTGCGCCAACGCCATGTGGTCACAGTCCGCTTCCAGTTGGGCCACTTTGTGCTGTATGCCCTGCATGTCCTCCCTGGGAGCATGTAGTTCCCCCGTGAGGTATTTGTGGAGTGTGGCATTCGCTTTAGTCAGGAGGTTGCAGATCAGCTTCACCGAGTCCGGCTATGTCACCTGGGGAGCAGAGGTATGTGAGGCCTTGCTGGGTAGATTCTCTTGTGGTGAAGGAAGGCGGGAGAGGCTCGAGGGCTCTGAGTCATTCGAGGCCTGGGATGTCTGCTCAGCCTGTGTCAGGAGATAATTGGCGCAATGCAGAGGGCTGGGACCCCCTGGGGGTGCCTGCGGTCTGGCTAGCTTGCGATGACCTGTGTGTCTTGCCCATGTTAGCAGTCTAGTGTGCTGTTTTTGCGAGGATTAGTGCTGAGCCTGCGGGGAGCTCCATCTTTCTCGGCGTCCAATCCACGCCAGGAAAATTCCTTCTTGACCCCAAAATAGCAGTCAGATATCTCATTGGATCAAGCAGCTATTAACCCACTACTTAGAAATTAAATCCCTATATGTTATGTTTTTGCAAGTATTTATTCAATCACAGTTAAAACATCTGTAAGGACTTGGATAAAACCACCTGTTTAGGTTGAGAATTCCATATCCTTATTGCTCTTACTCTAAAATAACCTTTTCTTTGCCTTAAAAGAAATCTCCTTTCTTCCAGCCTAAATGTGTGACCTCATGTCCTATGTATAGCCCTGTTTATGTATAGAATTCCAGATAATGGTTTGTACTGGCCCGAATATATTTGTATAATGTTATCATATCCCCTCTGAGGCTCCGTTTTTCCAAACTAAAGAGATTTAAATTTTTTAACCTTTCTTCGCAACTAAAATGCTCTATTCCTTTTATCAATTGTGTAGCTCGTCTCTGCACCTTTTCTAGTGCCATTATATCCTTCTTTAGAACAGGTGCCCAAAATTGCACAGCATATTCAAGGTGTGGTCTTACCAGTGATTAATAAAGAGGCAAAATTATATTTGTATCTCAAATGTATGCCTCTCTTTATACATGACAAAACCTTACTAGTCTTAGCAACTGCAGGTTGACATTGCATATTGTTTCCTTTTTTGTTGTCTATAACAATTCCCAATTCCCTTCTTGTTTGTGGTTATCCATAATTCACTACTATTTAGGGTGTAAGTTGCTTGTGCATTCTTGACCCCGAAGTGCATAACTTTGCATTTCTCTACATTAAATTTCATCTGCCATTTTAGTGCCCAGTCCCCCAGTCTATCCAAATCCCTCTGCAGCAAAGCAATATCCTGCTCACATTTTATTACTTTACAAAGTTTTGTGTCATCTGCAAACACTGAAACAGGGCTTTCAATGCCTTTTTCAAGATCATTCATAAATGTGTTAAATAGAAGCGGTCACAAAACAGAATTTTGAGGGACACCACTTACCACTTTTATCCAGCCTGAAAATTTACCATTAATGACAACTCCTTGTACTCTATCCTTAAGCCAATGTTCTACCCAAGAACAAGAATATTCATCTAGACCAATTTCTTTTAGTTTGAAGACTAACATATTTGTGAGGAACCGTATCAAATGCCTTTGCCAAATCCAGGTAGATCACATCCACTGCAACACCCTGATCTATACTTCTACTTACTTCTTTGTAGAATGCAATTAGGTTAGTTTGACATGACCTATGTTTCATAAACCCATGCTGATTATTGCTAATAACAAAGTTCTTCCCAATTAATTCCTGAATATTATCCCTTAATAGCCCTTCAAATATTTTCCCAGTCACAGAAGTTAAGCTCACAGGTCTATAATTTCCATGCAATGATTTTAAATCCTTTTTAAATATAGGAACGACATCTGCCTTCCTCCAATCCTCTGGTATAACCCCTGAAACAAAAGAATCTTTAAAGATTACATGCAGAGGTTCACTTATTATCCCACTTAGCTCCATAAGTACTTGTGAACACCGTCAGGCCCCGGTGCTTTATTTACATTAATTTTCTTTAACTGCTGTAGCACCTTGTCTCGAGTCATCCAATCACAAGCTATCTGCATGTTTTTTTGCAGAAATCATTTGCATATCTCTTGGCATAGGATCTTCATTAATATATACTAAAGAAAAATTGTTATTTAAAATTTCTGCTTTTTCCTGGTCATCATTAACTAACAGACCCATCTCTGTTTCCAGCGTACCTACACTTTAATGTTTGTTTTTTTTAGAATGGATGTACTTGAAAAAAAATTGGGGTTGGTTTTGCATTCTTTGGCCATCAATTTCTCATTTTCTAGTTTAGCCACTTTAATTGCCTTTTGGCAAGCATTATTGGCTTCCTTATATCTTATATGGGATGCCTCTGATTTGTCCAATTTAAATGCTTTAAATGCCCTTTTCTTATTTTATTTTTTTATTTTTTTATTAGTAATTCTTTATTTCAGAAGTACAAAACATTAAACATGTTATATTTATAATTACACAGTATGGACAATAAAATATGAACAACATTACATTCAAATTGATGATTCTTAGTTATTAAATCTATTGGATGATTTTACCTGGATGCAAGGATATTCATTTCATACTTCATTCATTCAGAAGAAAAAGACAGGAAAATAAAAAAAGAGGCACATTTCCCTTCGGGTTGTCGATAACCATGTCGTGATATAGTCTAGAGGGACAGAGTTCCAAGTTAATTCAGTTTATGTTTTGAGAATTCTTATACTGTGTCCAGGGATGCCAGATATGTCTATACTTATCTATTTCCCCTTTCGATGCATAGAATCCATATTCCATTCTGCATTGAAATTCTAATTGATTTTGTAATTTTTTTCCATTGTCTTGCTATGCAGATCTTAGTGGCCATTAGAATATGGACAATTAAGTTTTTCTGTATTTTGTTACCAATAGAAATATCAATATTAAACAAAAACATTTGTGGAGAAATAGTATGAATATTAAGGAACAGATGCTTCCCCCTTCCTGTGCAGCAGTTAACACTGACCGGTGTTCTATCAAAATCCCCTACTTCGTGATAATCCCCTACCCTCGTCACTACCGGTGAGGGGAATCAGCTGGAGCCTGTGCTGCACATGCATGCCAGCACTCTTGTTACTCTTCAAGAGCAAGGTTCTGGAAGGTAAGTAAAGCTAGCTTTACACTTTCATTATTGTTAGTGCATTCACTAAGCTTAAGAAGACAGGACATTTAGGGTTAAGTGAGTGTTCAAATTAGGGTTAGGTAAACTATTTTAACCTCTCTCACATCTTATTCTAACCCTAACCCTTGGGGTAAGGGTTAAATAAAAGTGTGACATATATCACAATTTAAAGATATTCCCCTAGTATGAATTATCACTAGATAAAACAACCACCTAAATCTAACAATAAATTGAACCCTAACATTAATATCTTCTGGGCACTTTAACTCCAACCGTGCCATCATTTGACCACGCCCCTGTTGCACAGTAAGCCATGCCTTGCTAAAATGTTTTTTTTTTTTTTAAATCCTGTGTGGAAAATAATGACGTCCTTCACCCGGGTAGCCAGAACTGTTTGAGCTGTGGTCGCACACGTCTTTATACATTTGGCCCTGCATTTAGGGGGGCACAACATGATGTAGGGGGAGGGGGGACAGCCACTAGCAATGCCACTGCTTTTGTGTGTCAGTTACAAACATCAATGTGCATCAGACTCATGTTTTCTCTCAGTTTATTCTGCTTAAAGTAACTGATATATAATAAAACAACAAAGGATGTTACAGGATGATGGATTTTCAACAGCAGATGTTAATTGCTTTACTCAGGAGAGGAGAGAGCCTTTACACCCTGTTCCAAATTATTATGCAAATTCTATTTAAGTGTCACAAAGACTACATATTTTGTTTTTCAGTTTAACTCATGGATAGCATTGTGTCTCAGGGCTCTTTTGATCACTGAAAACAATCTCGGACACCTGTGATAATTAGTTTGCCAGGTGAGCCCAATTTAAGGAAAAACTACTAAAGTAGGGTGTTCCACATTATTAAGCAGAGCACCATTTTCATGCAATATGGGGAAGAAAAAGGATCTCTCTGCTGCCGGAAAGAGTGAAATAGTTTAATGCCTTGGACGAGGAATGATAACATTAGATATTTCATGAAAACTAAACTGATCATCACACTATTAAGAGATTTGTGGCTGATTCGGAGCACAGATGGGTTTGTGCAGATAAAGGCACATTGAGGAAGATGTCTGCCTGATCCATGCATCGGATCAAGAGAGCAGCTGCTAAAATACCATTACATAGCAGCAAACAGATATTTGAAGCTGCTGGTGCCTCTGGAGTCCCACGGACATCAAGGTGTAACATAGAAACATAGAAACATAGAATGTGACGGCAGATAAGAACCATTCGGCCCATCTAGTCTGCCCTGTAGAGTCCTCCAGAGTCTTGCAACTGTGCATAAACCTTCTATTCGGCCACCACTAACGAATGCTCACAAGTAGAAACAGCTGCACTGGGCAGAAAAATACATGAAGGCTAATTTTCAAACAGTCCTGTTCACTGATGAGTGCTGTGCAACCCTGGATGGTCCAGATGGATGGAGTAGTGGATGGTTGGTGGATGGCCACCCTGTTCCAACAAGGCTGCGACGTCAGCAAGGCAGTGGTGGAGT